TGGAACAGTTGAATGTAGATCACATTTGTATGCGTATGAATTGTTTATAAAATTTATTATGATGGTACGGAGGTTTCAGAATATTTGTTTTAAATGTAAAAAGAAAATTTTTATTTATTAAAAAAATGTTGCGTTGAAGGAAATGTTTTTTATAAAATATACAAAGTAGTAATTCTGACATTTCTTTGTATTTTATTTTCTGTTCTGGCAAGTCTTTTTTCGTGTTACTATAGTATTACCTATATACGAAAGACCTGATAAGTTATCAGCAAATATTTCGCTTGACATTTTCCACTGTGCTAAGGTATTCAACTCGTCGATAGCCAAACCATAACTGTAAAATTTTCTACGAGACGAAAATTTCAATTTTAGACAATTGTAGCTACATATATATACGTCTAAATTTATTTTCTTTAACGCCTCAACTGGAAAATTAATTTGTTCAGTTCCATAATAAAAAATTAATTAAATTATAAAAATTACTTCAATCGTAATAACAATTCTTCCAAACAGCAGTTTAACCAAAAATGTTTCATATGGATAATTATCTGAATATTCCTAACACTATTTCGATCAAAATTTAGATGCAAGTAACTGTGAAAATAATTATTAAAAAAACAAAGAAAATGGAGGAAAAATGATTGAACTTAGAATATAATTTCCTTTTGTAAAAATGAAACTTTTCGTAAAAACAGTGACAAATAAGTTTGTTATAAATTTCCAGATTTTCGTTCGTCTTTCGCGTCAAATACTCAAAACTTTAAAACATTTAAAGCTCGTTAAATATTTTAAGACCGACTTGATATAACTGATGATTCAGAATTCTCGTAATAAATCGATTGACCCAATTCTTTACCATTTTCTATTTATAGCATTGTTGAATTTACAGCATTGTTTTTCCCTATTTTATTCAACTGTTGCTTGTTTGTTACCGATTGCATTGAGCTAAAAAAAATTCCTTTTCGTGGCATCGCGATTCTGGTTCGATCTGAATTCTCCGTACCAAGGAGACTGGTCGAACCTCTAGCGACTCGGCCTCTAGACGGCGAATCATTTTCACAGCTAAGTTTGATCTAAAGACTCCTTATATGGAATACACTTTCCAACTGGGCGACGCGCCTAAGGCAGAATTCGCTAAAAAAAGCCTTAACGACAAGTCCCCTCGAACGACGAATCTAGGACAAAATCATTTTTGTCGTTGCTAGCCTACCATCGAACCAAATTTTTATTTACCTCACCAAAATCTACACCTAACATTGAGCAGTGATTTATATATTTCTGTATTAGTTCAAAAGAGGACAAAATTCGTAATCTAGAATAATAAAAAATAAAGGCAGTAATTTGATCAAATAAAAATGTATTATTTTTGTCATTATCTACGTTTCAGTATATATTTCGTTTACTGTTTGATTATAATAAATTAATTTAATACTTTTGACATTTGAAATTTCTGCTTCCAAACATAATTCCTTTTCGTTTTCTTACTTTATCGTACAAAATTGTATTTTATACTAAATCATTGAAATAAGTTCCACCATCTTCCTCCGTCCCTTTGGAAGCTTCGTAAAAGGGATGCATTTATTTCCATTTTGCCAAATCTAATTTGAATGCATAGAATTTCATAAATAATAATCGAAAGGGGCAACGTCCAGAGAGAACGTAGAATAAGATGGAAAATCCTAATCAAATGCTAATAGCTTCAAAGAAATATGTGGTTTAGATTATCACGATGAAATGATACGCCTCGGTTGTTTGCCAATCCTTGGGCGTTTTCTTTTCGACGGCTGACTTCGGCTCTTCCAGTCGAACACAAGATTTTTCCGAATTGATAGTTTCGTTTGGCGGAGCTCTTCCAATCTCGCCAGACGTATAGCAGAACTTTCCTCGAATGAAGTCCAGATTTGGTAACGAGCAAAGAGCCTTTCCGTCGCTTGACCTGGATCGTTCGCATTCCACGTTTATACAAACAATCCAAATTTCGTCCACGACTAATATTCTTCAAAAACGAGTTTCCTTTAATTATTGTGGCCAAGCAAATCGTGCATGGGCATTCGATCCATCGAGTTTCGCTTCGGAGCAATTCGTGTTGTACGAACTGATGCACGTAAATTCCAACTAAATTCTTAATAGCACCCATATTCGTGGTTAAATCTTCCGAACTGTTGGTGAATTACCCCTGTACACGGCACGAATCTCACTAGCAACCTTCTCAATGCTACTGCCTTTTTTAAAGCAGTGAAACATGCTTCTCTATCATAGCCATACTGATGAATCTGTCTGATATGTTGCGAAAAGAAATGTACCTTTCTTTTTCACGATTTTCGCTCCTTTAGATGAAATTGCTCGTAAATGTTAAACGGAAGTTTTGAATGTCCATCGTGGACGAAGAATAGATCGAAAAGTAAGCGAAAACTTTAGATCAAAGAAGGTACACCCACTGACAAATCAGATAGAACAATAGAGTTGCTCATAAAAGATCATACATCGACTCTTTACTTAGTTACAGGAAGAGGCTTTGAAAAAAGGACTCTGAGGCGGGAAAAGTTCTTCTCACTTGCATAAATTAACGATAGAAACGAAACGATTGAACGAAGAAATGAACATAGTAGATTGAACGTTCATAAATTCATGAACTTGCACATTCTACGCAAATCATTGTCAATTTTGTGACGCGTGCACCTGCGATCGTCGTCGTCGCAAGATTACGCGACACTGACGCCATCATCGGGCGAACAAACTCTCTGAACCGTTGTACGTGCGCAAGGTAGATGCGCAGAAAGTCGTGCGCCATCCGATACGGTTTTGCAGAATCGACGCGTGCGATTTTGCCGAACGAGTAATTCAAGAACGAATATAACATAATTTTAGACGCGGTATAAGCTGAAATCATGGCGTTTTCGATTCCGAATTACTCGTTTGGCAAAACGCTCGCGTTGGCCTTGCAATTCGTATCGTATTACAGTGGATAATGAATAATCTTCTGCGCATCAATCTTGTGCACGCGCAGCGCTCGAGTGACGATTACTTCTCCGCTGATGACGCAAATGTCCCATGACCTTGCAACAATTTCAATGATCGCCGATGTACATGCATACTCTTTGGAAATAATCGTCTATTTATTAAGGGTGGGCAAATACGACTTTTACAGTGACAGGATTAAGAAGACCAACGAAAAGAATATTCTAAATCTCACAAAGGAATCGAACTAGAGATACACGATAAAGTGATTTTATTTTTTATAACAATAGTAGATACGGTACAGTAGAGATACCTGTATACAACTATTCTTCTATCTAAACACTTTACTATCCGAACGTTCTGTTATTTGAATAACAAATCGTTTGAATAATAGTGTTTTTAAATAGAATATTCAGATAATTGATGTGTGAATATAAGAATCTCTACTGTATTTCGAAATTGGGGACTAAAAATATAATAATACATAACTGTTAAACACAATGCAAGCATAATAGGGATAAATTAATGAAACAGTTTCAAACAAAAATTTAAAAAACTATTTTAAACAGAAGTTTGGTGAATATGTGAATTCAAAATAATGTTAAGTTTTAAGGAAACTGATAACAAAAAGTATTTATTACACAACTGTCCGGGGATATTAGATACGTTCTTTGTTTCAAATTTCACGTTCAAAACCAATTGAAAATTTACATAGTCGATTAAACCAAAATTCCAAACATGGTACAGAATATTATTTACACTATTTCTCGATACCAAAAATTAGGATTACGTTAACTTTTCAAATATATGTACATTTATGACGAATTTCAGATATCGGTACTTGTATGATTCACGGTTGATTTTGTGGAAAGCATTGTGTCTTAATCTAGATTTAATGCTTTAATGTACTGATAAATTGTGCATGGAATTCGAATATTAAAATTGTTCATTGTGTCTTGAATTGTATTTCACTGAATTTGGATTCGAAGCCCGTATCGATCATTGTTAAAGAAATATGATATTTTAAAAAAGAAAACAATCAACCTAAAATAAAAACTTTTCTAAAAAATAACGTGTTTGTATGTTTAAAAAGCATAAGAATTACTTCGACTGAATTAGATACAATACTCCCATGCATTTAAGAAACAATTAAATGCTATCGTTTAATGCACACGTCAATGTCAAATAAATTCTTCCACATTAATTTATTACACATTGTGTATGTACGTTCTAAACAAAGTAATCGAAATATTTGTATATCTCAATTAAATTTGAATAAGTGTTACAATTTCCTCCACGAATTTTCTATAAATATTTAAGAAAAACTGCTAAATGTAGTATGTTGAAAAAAATCGGCACTTTTTTTAAGGAATGAGTGTACCGAAGAATTTAGTTCACTGGACTAAAAATAACAGAAATTTTGTACTCACTGTAGGTCATTACAAGGATCCATGGATATATGCTATAACGTAAACTTGATAATAATGTCATTCACATACATTACACGATGACGTTCAAACCAAAATTCTTTTCTGTCTTTCGGCCCGTCTATTTTTTTAAAAAGATTTTTCTTTCGAAGGTGTTCGCGCCACGTCAGTTATTTTCGACTCGCGAAGAATAAAATAATAACACGAATAACTTTATCAAAGAATTTGTACAAATATTATATCTATATCATATTTGTTTTTAAACAATTTTCCAACAGTTATTTACACGCGTTATATAGAAAAATATAAACATCTAGATAAAATATAGAAATTTATAACAGCGAAGAAGAAATCTGATTTTTGTTCTGCAAACACGGTTCAAGTAGAAATACAAATTTCTATGTATTTCATAAAGTTTCTGTTGCAACTTTAATGTAAATAAAAAAAAAAATAAATTTGGGATATACTACTATTATAATTAGAGCACACGTATGCATATGCGCTATATTATACTGCTACTATTACTTGCATATATTCTAAACGATATCTCAAAGTGCTGCATAATTTAGTTCGAGCCTAGAATTTAATTTATTTAACAAGCATAAGAGAAAATACCTCTTGGGTAAGTTCCGCAGTATTAGCCGGTTCGTCAGGACTTTGGGAAGCATTTAGCGGATCAGGCGACGTGATATTTCTAGCCGGATGTCTTGAAATACTAGGCCCTGCTACAGCAGTATCTCTCGTTGATTCTTCGACATTTAACAAATATGCATGGATATTGTTTAATCCAGAATTCAATCTGTTGTATCTTCCTAAGGAATTTAAGTCTTCGAATAAATCTCTCTCATAGTTTAGTAGTACCGTGTCCAGATTCTTTGGGTGCACGAACATAGGACGATGAATAATCGTGCGAGCATCGTTGTGCCATCCGGACCCATTGTTTAAATCCAAAGATCCTACACCGATGGTTTGAATATCCAAACCAAGGTAAGACTCTGGATCCACCCGTAACAAAGAAAGCAACAGCGCAAACTGCAAGAGTTCCTCGCGGTACAATTTCTTTAGACACAACATCGTGCTTTTTTTTTTTTTGTTTAAATCCAATCACCTGTTATCGTTAAACTTATTTCAACCTCAGGGATGTAACTTATTGTCACAGCGGCCTGGCAGTTATATTGAACACAAAGGCTAAATAAGTCGTCATGAATGTATAGTGGCTCATGTTGAACTTTGGTTATCACTTTCAGATTAAATGTCAAACGTTTATACACAACTGTTTATATTTTAACGTCCGAATTGTACACACGATTACACGTAATAATTTTTTAAACGACGAACAATGCGAAACGATGCTTTTAATTGTTGTTGAAATTGAACTTCACTGTTTAAACCGACGTTCCCTTTGTTTAATGTGACCGAGAGCGTCTCGAGAAACGTTAAGAAATACGATCGTCGAAAGTGTTCTCGTTCGAGCAACTTATTCGACAGACCATCGGAATGAAAATAAAGATTTGGAGTTCTCTTTAAACAAGTATAGGTCAGTTACACGAATACAGAAATAACCTCAAAACACACACTAGCCACGTCAAACATTCAGTGTACGTCGCGTACATCCTACGCATGCCTCGGATTTCATTTGACAATACAAAATGGTATTCCTTCGGTTTAGCGGCAACACTTCTTTAACACTGTCACAGTACGCCAGATACTATACAAAGCAAAACCTCCAAGTCTACTGGTAGAAACTGACAGTTTCACAAGGGCGATACCGGGTTCCGAACTGCTTCAAATTTATTACTGGTAGCAATTCGAGGCCCGCGACATGCGCCAAAAGCTTCCTCTGCTAAATCATCTTGCTTCCATGGTGTTATAGTTTTGGCGACGATAACGTTATACTAATGCAGTAGAATGCATTTCACGGAGGACGACTAGCACACCTTGCTGGGAGAGATTGTTCACGATATGTGACTCAGCACTCACTCAAGCAACGTAGTTCTCAGGGCCGAGCCAAGCGCATATTTCTCCCCTATTTGCTTAAACAGCCAGTCAATCTATTTAACTTCGCGTTCGTCAAATTTAAACGTCCGACACAAATTCGTCAATATTGTTTATATGATTTAAGATTTAAGATGCTAATGCAAACAAGACTATAAATTAACATGACTGCCCTGGTGATTACTAGCGACTGATACTTTGAACTTACAACACGCTATAATAATGTTATTTACAATGACAAGTTGTAAATAACGTTATTTTAATTAGAAATACTGCAAAATAACAGTCACGCTACTGAATTATCGAATATTTCTATTCTTTACATTATGATTCGATCGAATGTCGAGGACATCTTTGGACAAAGCAATTAACGTGTTGATATGGCGATTGATACTTGTATTGTTTAACGTTAAGAAATATTTAAACGTACATCGAAACATTCAATATACGTTTATGCCAGTTATTAATTGTAGGTAAAATAGAAAATGTAAGGCAAGTGTGGCAACGAAATTAATTATGCGCAATACATACCTACGTGTTTTGATTTGTTTTGAAGCAAAAAATCTCGATACTGCGTTTAATCGTATTAAATACACGTTTATATAACCATGTGTATTATCGTATTTTCACGAACTTCTTTTTATCGAAAGAAATGCGTTACGTAACTATTTCTTTCAATTCCATTCACGTTTTTGTTTTTCTTTATAATCGTTACGATATTTTTCACGTCTCAAACGTATTATAATATATTTATATACGTTTTATAATATATACTTGCAGCATTTTATAAACAATACTAATGCAGAAAAGACTATAAAGTAACTTGGTGGTCGCCATGGTGATCGAACTTACAAATATCGTTAATAATGAAATAATTGTAAATAACGTTACTTTAAATAGAAATGCTGTAAAATAACAGCTACGTTGAATAATCGAATATATTTATTTTTTACATTATAATTTGATCAAATGTCGAGGACATCTTTGAACATAGCAATCAACGTGTTAATATGGTAATGATTGCAATATAATTTATGAAACTCTTCTATATATTTAATGTAATTGCCACTTATTAATTGTAGGTAAAACAGAAAATATATAGCAAGTGTGGCAACATATAATAAGTGTTTCAATTCGCTTTGAAGCGAAGAATCACGATACTGCACTGGATCATATTAAGTACACATTTATGTAACGATGTATATCGCATTTTCACTGGTTGTTTTCTTTGTCGAAAGAAGTTCGTTACGTAAGAATTTCTTTAAGTTCCATTCACATTTTTCTTGTCCTTTGTTCTTTGTTTTTCCCAAGCCCATTAATAAACGCGTCCACGCAACTCCGTAAACTGTTTTTTAGACGTCTTCGAGTCGTCAAGGTTGCTTTCGATAGTACGTAAAGAAATAGTTACATTTTTATTCACATATTTGCTCGTTTATTCTTTATAGCATTATTTGCGATGGTAAATGATCATTATCCACTCGAACAATATTGTGCGAGATGTATTTACGGAAGTAGAATAACATGTAAAACTACGTATTTACTGTCATCGATATAGAACTAGACAATGTCCGACGTATGTAAATCAAGTTCATAGGTGAACTATGACGATGATACGGGACAATAAATTTTCCGTCGATAAATTGCACTCGATCGAGTTCGTGTTTCTCCGTAGGTAACGACGCGAAGATGTATAAACATAAGAAAAACAAGTTGTAATTCCGTTCGAACGTGTTGGTGTTTTAAATTCTGTATACGTGTGTCTTGTAAAAAATGAGATGCTTTGACGAAACGCGCGATCGAAGTCGCAGTGAAGGAACTTCGATCGCGATCACGTTGGCACGCTGTGTACAGCTGCCATGCTTAAGTTACCAACACCAGCCAGCGAATGATCGAGCAAATACGTGTACGTATCGTAAGGCCACACCACATATGTACACGCGTACGCGTCATCCACTACTCGTACACGATCGTACTTACCTTGCACATGAGTTTTGTTGATTTTGAATCTGTCGCATCGTTGCCAGGCGACATCGATGTCATTTGCGGCAAATCCTCCATATGAAGCATGATGTCTCGACTTATCTTTAAATTTTAAAACATACACTGTGTGGCAGTTAAGAGGAATCAACCGAGCAGAGATCAGACTGACTGGGGGGAACTCCGGTGCTGGTAATTTTCAAGTATGGAAGTGAAACACGTCACTGGAACTTCGAGAATCACTCTCACTTCGATGAATCACCCGAAAAGTGTTATGCCTGCGTGTCGTCCGTTCAATGTCTACACCACATTTTTATTAATATCCGTTGACAGATATTCCTGTAAGAGAGTGTATCTTCGTCCAATAACGAGGTTATTAGAATCGAAGAGAAAGCAACCGTGTGTCGTTCCAACACGAGATAATTAGAATTTTTCTTGTGCAACGTCACCGCCAGCGACTGCCGCGCTATTTGAACATGGCGCGAGCTACCCGCTGCCTGTTTACATTACAACGACCGTTTCCGTTTTCAGCGATCCGACACGTCGGCGCAATAGAGTCTAAAGTTGATACCAAAATAAGAATTTCAAGTGCATACATAGTGATATGTGCGTGTGTGCAGTCGGTCACACTGGAAAATCGTCCACCGTTACTTCTTTTTATATTGGTATACGTATTGCTTATAAAACACAGTTATGAAAAGAATACATATTTTTACAATGCAAATATATCAAATTGTGGTCATTTTTAAAAATTCCTCTCATCTCTTGTCCCTTTGCGGCGCAGAATTTCAGATAATAAAATAGACCAGTGTTGCACAGAAATTTTACTGCGTTTTAAATTAAACAAAATTGGTATATTTTTATTAAGAAAGGTATTACATAATGTAAAAACATAAAAAAATAGTAATAGTTTGATTAAATTTGTCGCAATAAACCTTCCGCTTGCAACAATTGATAAACCTGTATTAACTATTGCAATATTTCGAGGTGGAACTAATAATGTCCCATCGTGCATTACGGTGCATCAAAAAGATGGGATATTTTTAATCCCAGCGTGCCCCAAAGAGTTATAAGTTTAAGACCTTAGTTATTAATCGATCTTACGATAAACATCTCGATCCATAAACATTTTTTTCAACGAAAAAAGAGAAGACAAAATGAAAGACGTACGAACGTCTGTAACATGAATTCCTGTTCGATTTCAACCATAAAATGAACAATTCTGGCATTGTACTGAACATTATTTGAAGCTACGCCATAAATGTAATCGGTAATTTAAATAATTGTTTGGTTGTGAGTTGTAACTAAATCAGTGGTTTCATAATGATGTAGGGGGAGTTCCCCTAGTATTGGACACTTAAGGTTTTTTTTAAATCATTGAAAAAATATAATATTTTAATTTAACAATATTAGAAATCAATGTAAAGCAACAAAACGAATAATATTATTGTAATAGTTAACTGAAACTGGTCTCCATTTCTCCAACGCACACCACCGGAAGCCAGAAGGGCCAACTTAGGCTGTCTGACAAAGAGAGAGAGAAAAACTATACTATATTATGTGATTTTTTGTTATACAACATTTTAGTCTTAGTTTTATTTGTAGAACACACTACTGAAGTGTGCACGGAAAAATATGGAACACCCTGTATATAGTAATTTGAGTGTCTTGTTTCGTTGGACAGGATATAGGTTTCTTGATCTTTTTATATCTTGATATATTTGAACTTTTGGTCTCTATCGCCTGTTTTATCATGGCTTTAGGAATATCTTATCTGTATAGTAAATACAGGGGGTTTATCGTAACGGTCTTCTCGATTTTTCAGACATTCGCGGTAATTTGACGAAAAGATGATTCACACAGAAGTTATTCAACACTTTGGTGGGAATGAACTGTAATATTAGAAATTTCGTTAAATCTTCTTATTTGATGAGAAATTGAGATTCTAGACGCCAAAATAAGACGAAAATCAAGAATACCAATTTGTTGACGGAGGCTTCGTTAAAAAGTTATTAACAATTAAATTCAAAAATTTTTCAAATCGTTCTAAAAAAATTATTTTCGGTTACGGGGGTCAATTACAATCATTTTTGATGATTAGACATACCCCCGAATTCCTACGCATTTTCGAGAAAAAAATTCGGATAGGTGCCTAAATTTTTCGGAGAAAAAAAAATTTCGAATCGCTGTAAAAAAATTATTCTCGGTTGCGGGGGTCAATTACAATCATTTTTGGTGAATACACATACCTTCGAAATCCTATCCACTTTCGAGAAAAAAATTCGAGAATGTGTGAAATTTTTCGTTGAAAAAAAAAATTTCAAATCGTTCTGGAAAAATTATTTTCGGTTGCGGGGGTCGGTTACAATCATTTTTGGTGTATACACATACCCCTGAATTCCTACCCAGATTCGAGAAAAAAATTCGAGAAGGTGTGAAATTTTTAGGTGAAACTAAAAAATTTCAAACGACATTAAAAAAATTATATTTAGTTACCGGGGTCAATTACAAGCATTTTTGGTGAATAGACCTACCCCGAAAATCCTACCCACTTTCTAAAAAAAAATTCGAGTAGGTACTGAAATTTAAACGTTAATAACTTTTTAACGAAGCCTCCATTAACAAATTAATATTCTTGATTTTCGTCTTATTTTGGCCTCTAGAATCTCCCATTAAAATTTCTCCAGAGATAGCCGAACACCTTGTATATTGTAATTACAATATAATTATAGTAAAATTGCATTGCAGAAATCGTCGTGGTAAATGTAAACAGATTGTATTTTGCCCAACGCTATTTGAAAGGTACCGAGGAAAAAGTTTACAAAATATCGCTAAGAATGAATAATGTTCAAATTACTTTAAACATATAATATATTCATTTGTATGCTTGTACATATTTCATATTTATTTTATACAACAAAATATCTATGACAACAGTACAGTAAAGAACGGTGTACAATATACAGTATTTCCCTGGAAGATGTCTGCGGCTCGGGATCGACGATGAACACTTTTCAAGGTTCGGCATTGTCTATATGTATACGTTGAATTGGCCTTTCTTATCTTCGACTAGGACAGAGCTCGCAAGTACGCTCGACGAGGACACCGAATGGGACATACGAACAGTAAACAAGACAGAGCAACAACAATGGAGTCTTGACCTAATCGGCCCACAGCCAAGAGTGATTCTCATCGTAGAACGAGCTTTCCTTTGTTTCAAAATTTTTATTTTTACTCTTTCTGTTATTTGAACAAAAAGTTCACTGTAAAAATTCGATACATTGGTAATACTCTCGTAATAACGAAATGAAAAATATACAAATTTAATTTTTCATTAT